GCTGAGCATGTCCTGTGGATTCACAGCATCATGGAATCATTAAAGCTGGAAAAGACCTTTATGAAGATCAAGTCCAACTGCTAACCCACCACCACATTCACCATTTAACCATGTCCTCAAGTGACATACCCACACATTTTTTTAACACTTATAGGGATAACGACTCCATCACAGTCCCTGGGAAGTCTGTTCCAATGTTTTACAACCCTTTGTGTGAAAAAGAAATTCCTATTATCTCATCTAGACCTTCCCTGGTGCACTTGAGGCCATTTCCAGTCCATTCCTCCTATTTCCAAAGATGGGGCATACACAAAATTACACTTTCAATTTATACTCTGCTGAAAAACAAAGATCTTTAAGTATCTGGGGCCACAGTCACACAGTTAACAGTGGAAGAAATCCTCTGTTCAACACAAAGCAGACAAAATTTAAACTGGACAAAGAGCTGCAGAAACTGCCATTTGAATTCAGAGGATTCCTTAGATTCAGAACAGCAGCTCTACAATATTGCAATGAAAATTGAGAATTTCAAATGAAATTCTACTATAACCATCCATGAGGAGAGGATGGCTGCAGTGCTTTAAAAGTATTTCTGAACCAAGTACACGCTCGAACTGCAGGCAAGTTCTGTCTGTGGCTCAGAGGTGCTGTCACTGTAAGCTGTTAAAATAATTACACTTCAATACTTAGAAATCAGAAGGATTTGCACAGAAATGTCCCTAGTCCTGCAGGGAAACTTTTATCAGCTATGGAAGACTTTAGTGTTACCAGTGTTGCACCAGTCTCACTAGGCCTAACTCTGCTCTTCAGAATATGAGTGCTTGCATGAGATCCTCAGACAACTTTTCTTCTTCCTCCCTCTACCGTTAGTGGAATGGCCTTGAATTAAATTGTAAAAGTACAGAAGTATCTGCATGACTCGGAGGGCCATAAACCCTATGTAGGCAGGAATTATTTAAGGTTGTACAAAGGGTATAATTAGAACCTGCTGAATGAAGTAAAGCAAATGAACAAGTCCAAGTATAAAAGCTTCCTCTCAAACTATGATGCCTTCCAGCACACAGAACAATCTTGTAGAGAGCAGAAAGGCTTCTAGAGCTGCAGCAGAGACTGAGCATGACACAGAGCACTGCAACCCCTAAAGCTGCACCACCCAGAGCAGTCCTCAGAGCACCTCAGCAACATGGAAGAATTGTGTTACCTAAACACAGGATGCTGGTTCTCCCAAGTCTGGACTCAGTTCTGGAGCCCATCATGTGTCAGCACTGCTTCCCAAAGTGTGACCACTAAAATGCGAGCATGAAATGCTGCCTAGTCCCTTAAATAATGATGTACTGTGGGTGTACTCAGGATAGTGACCTGGGCTCAATCCCCTCCTATCTGGGCTGCTCTGCACACAGAGCTCTGCCAAGTGCCCACAGATGCTCCTGGAAGACAAGAGTGAGCTCTGCTCTGTGATGCCTTCCACACAGGACACATGCTGAGGGAAGGAGCTGGGCCAGTGCCTGAGGCAGCATCACTGCAGGGATTCCCACAACCTGGATGCTTCTGCCCTTGCCTGGATGCTTCTCTAGAGGTGGCAGGAAGAAGCTGAAGGCCAGATAAATTGTGTCAGCAAGAACAGCCTGTCCCTTTTCGCTGCTCTTCCAGAGAGCTTTTGATTTCCTGCCAAGTGATAATGCTGCAAGAACCGTAGAATGTCCATTGAAGCTCAGAGCTAGGGAGTGTTGTCAGAGCCAGGCTGTCAGCTAACAAATCAGGGCAGCAGGGAGACACATCTGCTCTCATTTTACATATTTTCCTTTCTTTCCATACCACATGCAAGACCACATTCTAAACATGCTAAAAGATAATCTACAATTCTGGGCAACAATTTATTTATTCACCCAGTGTTTTGTTGCTTATTTTTCAAACTTTAAATGTTGCATCCCATGCCCTACTAAAATGCAGTTTCCATGTAACAGCAAGACATCCTTTCTTCTGGAGGTAGAGTATGGTAGAACATGAATGAAAGTACGGATGCAGTGCTAGGGATTACTTCTGTAGTTGACACTTCCTACTCCTCTGTCACATACTTACCTTTCCAACCAAGTCATGGTCATCCAGGTTGCTGGAAGACAGGTATTTTTATCGTTTTGGGATCACTGCTTATGTTTGCATCATGATGCATCTTTATGTTGAAAAAACAAACAAAATAATCAGATTAAGTAACCATTCTTTGCTCTGACAGTCACTGTGGGTTTCATAGCAAATGGTAAGCATATACATGGATGGCTAAGAAGCTGTCCAAGGCTTGTAATTACTGGATGAAGCTTATTCCCTTGTGTGCTCTTACAGCTTTAAGTACTAGTAGGCAGGCTGATTTGTATCCATTATGGTTCTGTTTATCTCCACCCATTTAAAAAGTAAAACCTTTGTCTCTCTAGGAAAGCATCCTTTCTCTGTTGCTGAGGGGGCATATTCCTGAGACAGGATTTGCTCCTGCTCACAGTACAGTGCTGTGTGCTTCACTTTTCCCTTTTGGAAAGAAACTTGCAAAGAACTGTAACAAAAACAGATTGTTCACACTCCACGTTTCTTCTGCCTCTTCTTCAGTTAGAAGCTTGTCAGTCTGAATGAAAATATTTCTCATCACGGCAAGTATTCACTGATGGCTCGAGCATCTATGCCCTCTTGTGTACATTCCTGCTCCTAAGCCATAGAATACCTCTCAATTCCCTAAGAGAACTCATTCTCAGTGATGCATTCAAGCCCACAGAACAACCAGAATCAGGAGAAAACCCCCCACATTATTCCTGAGAGATGATCCGAGGCGTACAGCAGATGCCAACTGGCTGCCTTCTCATCAGGAAAACAACCAACCCCCAAACCCTCCAGCTGCCAGGGAACAAAATGCTAAGTGTTAGATGCAGAAGAGTGAATGCATTCCCTTCGGCTTAAGCTGAGCTCAGGGGCAGCAGATACCCAATTACCACGGGTTCTAAAACTAAAGCTTGCAAATAATAAAAAGGCACAAAGTTTCTAGTGAACATGAAACAATAAGCAGAAAAGTACCTCAGCTCATCTTTCACCAGCAGGTAAAAGAGGATTTTATGAAGAGATACTGAAATGTGAGGAAGAAAGAATTTTGCTGGAAGGCAACTTTTTTCCTCTCAAATCAGCAAATACATTCACACTTCTTACCCTAAGAGGAAAATTAGCCTAATCTTAGTTCATACACTTACTTATCCTAACTGAAAGACCAAGTTAATGACACAGATAGAGAACCCAAGTAAATGCACGTTTGCTGGACATCTGCAATGTAAAAGGTTGAGAACAGGGTCAGCTGTAGAAAGGTAACTGTGATGCAAGCAGCACTACAATATTTTATTTACCAAGTCTTTTGCTGAACACAGTGGAAGAATCTGCAAGTTAAGCAGATACATCCACGGGCTCTAGGCTCATTTTTCTGAGTTTTTTTCCTATTACCATTTTAATGGGAGTGGGAAAGCCCAAATATACACACTGAAAACCTAATTTCTGTAAACTGAACTCCCTCAGCCTTGGAGAAAAAAATTATAATCGAATTTATGATCACTTTGCTAATGCTTTGTATTAAAATATTTCTGCAAGACTATAAACAATACAAGCATGAAAATATTTTCCTTCTACTATTACAAAGCAGTGCTGCCACCCAGGAATGCAGAGCTTTTCCTGTATCCTGAATCATGCCCATTTACAAACCAAGTAATTATTCCAGATTCTAGGACAAAGACTCTTTCCATCATTTGGTTTACATTTGCATGGCAATACCAGTTAGATGTGCAGATTTACCACACAAACTTGTAAAATCTTACATAGATTACAACTTTTGCATATCTTGAGCATATTTCAAAGCTAGAGAAACATATGAAATATTTCCTAAGCAAATTAAGAGACAGAGCATAGAGTTGAAGCAGTTCTTCCAGTAGTTATTAACAACACAGACATTTCTTAATTCTAAATTTGCAAAAGTATCCATGTATTTCATTACGAAAATGCAGTAATTGAAAATGAAGTTGTTTCCCATTAAAATAAGCAATCATAAAGGCTCCTATGCAGTCATTTTCTGAAGTTCAGACTATGCACTTCAGATGTATGCAGAACCAGATCTCCAGATGCTGGGGTAACTTCAGAGTCCAGTGAGGTGCCAGCTTAAGCATGATTGCTGACAGAGCCACATATCACCAAAATGTTTTGGTGAAAGAAAGGTAGCAAAGACAGAAATTGATGCCAAGTTCTTAATTCTCATGGGAATACAGCTCCATTACTTCCTCCAGAGACCTGTCCTGCAACTCCTCTAAACTGACAAAGGCTCACTTAAGCCAGGCTTGTAGCAACTTCCAATTTGCAGTAAGCAGAAACAAGCACTGCTACTGGTGGCATTCTACCAAATCCAAACTTCATGCTTTACACTGATTATTATCTGCCCAAATAGCTCAATGGATCTGCAATCATTTAAAGACAAATTTCAAGGTATCCTGTTCAACCTGCAGGAACTCTGGGGTGCTTGACAAATTATGAATATTCATATTCATAAAGTATGAATATTCACACTTTAAATTTAGTTCCAACACTGTTGGAAAATTAAGACTAGTTATTTGCCTTACTTGCACACAAGAAATCGAACATTGTTCTAGGTTGGAACTTAATAATCTGTGTCATGAAATCAGAGAATATCCTGAGTTGGAAGAGACTCGTGAAGGTCATCAAAACCAACTCCTTCCATAGGGCAACCTAAAAGTTAAACCATACAGCCAAGAGAAGTGCTGTCCAAGCACTTTTTGAATACTGGCAGGCCTGGGGCCATGACCACCTCCCTAGGGAGCTTGCTCCAGTGCTTGGCCACCTTCTCATTTCAGCTTAGACTTCAGAAGAACTGTGTGAGAATCTGAACAGCCGTTGTTTTGAATAGTACATGGTGGTAAAAGGGTTTCATGGGTCTGGGCTGGGAGAAAACACAGAAAGGAACAACACACCAGTAGGGATGCTCTATTTTTATTTAGTCAGCAAACATTTTTCCATGTGATTTTTAAATACCATCCAAGAACTAACGAGGATTATTGGATGCTGGTTGCTTTTTTGTGATGAAACTTTTTGCTAACAGGATCTTTTTCCAGCAATGAAGACCTTTGGTTTGTTAAGGTATCCCAGTTCAGTAAGTACAGTTACTACTAATTTCACCCACAATTGAAGTGTATTTACAACAGTGCACATTACAGTTATTCTACAAAGGACAAGACTATCTAAATCCCACAGCAGGCTTTCACTCTTTCAGTATTAGAGGTGCTTTCACCTGTTCAGCCACTTCCTTCCCCAGCAGCGTTTCCACAATGGCCAAGCCAAACTCAAAGCTGGTGCCAGGCCCACGGCTGGTGAGGATGTTCCCATCCTTCTCCACACGGCTCTCGGAGTAGGAGTAATGTGCTTGGGGAACACACAACAGGAACGGGGTCAGTGTGTGCTTGGGGGAACACACAACAGGAATGGGGTCAGTGTGTGCTTGGGGGAACACACAACAGGAACGGGGTCAGTGTGTGCACAGGGGAACACACAACAGGAATGGGGTCAGTGTGTGCTTGGGGGAACACACAACAGGAACGGGGTCAGTGTGTGCACGGGGGAACACACAACAGGAACGGGGTCACACAGCTGCCACAGAGGGCACAAGGACCTCAGCACTGCTGCCAAGCAGCTCAACCCTGTCTGCTGTCCTCAGGGAAGAACAGGGCCCACAGGGAGCTAATTCCCAAGGTATGGGAATGCCCCTTTGACTCTAAAACTCCTCAAGAAGTGCTCACTGAGCCTGTCAGCTCCCATGAGGTTACTTCTGGAAGTCAGACTGCTTTTGTGGAGTTGATCACAAATTCCTTTTCTTTCCCAAATGCATGCAGAAGATATTGGGGGAACCCATCACCTCCAGCCCCATTAATGCTCACAGAATGACCTTCCTAGCATTTCACCATCACTTCCCTTAGCTTGGAGAAAGAAGTGTGGAGTCATCAGCTGTCACTGAACCAAAGCATTACTCACAGGAGAGTGGGAAAGGTGCTCCCAGAGTTTGCTGTTGGGACCACTAAGCCAAAAAACCAAAGGGGCAAGAGATGGCTCAGCCTCAAGAGGATAAGGGGATAAATGCTCCTAACATAACAGCAGCAGCAGAATTCCCCCAAGGATGAGAATGTTAGTACAGCCCTCTATCTTCTGGTGATATAGACTCAATTTAGAGAGAAAAATAAAATAAAAAAGCTCTTTTCCTTTCTTTAAATTGAAATCGGAGAAGGGTTTGGACAGAAACATACCTCCATTCATCATTTTGTCTTTGGCCAAAGGATGTGTTGTGACTTTGCTGCCATACCCTATGCCATGTGCCAGAAGGGCAGTAGGACCTGTAAGAACATAAAGTTGCACCAGTGAGGAATGCCTTCTACTACAAACACTGGTAAGAACAGACATTTGGGCATTAGGACCCCCAGGGATCAAAGCTCACTGTGGTCAGACTACTTTTTATAAAAACTGATGTCAGCCCTATCTCTGAAGCAAAAAGCTCTCACATTACAGTTTACACTGATGTCCCACCCATGGCTGTGCTGCCTTCAAGGAGTGAGCAACAATCCACTTCCAGACATTTTAAATAAAACTGCTTGACATTAAGAAAAAAAAGTCTGCATTTCAATCTGAACATTAATTAACTTGTTAAACCTTGAATTTAGAGACTTAACAGATAGGATTTCATTTGAGGAAGTCTCTACATGCTGCAGTTGCGTGCCAAGCAGTACTTCGGACAGATCATGGACTAACTGTTCAGTTTTTGGTTTCCAGAGTTTCTCTTTTCTTTTCATAGTTTCTCCTTAGCCTGAATTGAGGAAAGAATCTGTGTCATGAAGTGCTAAGTCATCAGACAGGAAATCCTTATGGGAATTCCAAAAGAAACTGAAGGCAGGATTTGTCTGACATGACTTTCATTTCTGTTAATTCATTTAATTCTGGATTTAGGACAGGAAACAACCTCTTTTGTGTTCAGTTGGAATGAGCCCTAAGAATCATCCTGCTTACAAGCAAAGGCCTCTGCAGGTGTGGATTTGGATTGTTCTGTAAGAGGCAGAGATAAAGCAGAAGAGTATCATTGCCAAGTTGAGGAATGTTCACAGCTCTGTGTGCCTAGCACCTAAATGAGGAAGAAAAGCAGGAACCTCCCCAAGCAATGTACCAAAAATTGAAAGTGAAAATCCCCTCCTGGAACACACTCTGACTGCCTTTTATGCATTCATGTTCTCTCTCCTCACTCTCAGCTTCAGGTCCCTAGACCAGCCTTCAGTTGCAGTATTGGCAATTTTTCACCTTGCTTTTTAAAACACAAATCTTATAAAGTTCAGGATCTGGATACCAAGCTGTGCAGAATATGTAAGCAGGCAACCCTCTCCTCAAACCAAGTCCATTTTTTGCTGCAGCTCAGGAAGGGTGAGACTGTAATTCTATATTTCTGGCCTTCTTTCTGAAGCTAAAGGGCAGGAGTGGTTATGTGAGATAAATTTACAGCAATGACATTCTGCCAGTGCTGTATACCTGCAGAAAGATCACCAGAATAAGCACATATTAAAAAAAAATCCTAGCACACTACCTTTCACTTCTTATTTTACAGACAGTAACAAAACTGACTGAAAGGAACTAGGTAACAAGCAGAACTTGCAGGATAAGTGTTTACAGTTATTTTGAAGATTTCTTTGCTATTACATTTACAAAAAATCAGATGTTGAAAGGTATATATATACAGGCACAAATTCCTGGTACTAAATTACAGGAATACAGATTTCTAAGACAGGAAACTGTCCTCATGCTCCTTCAAAATATCGAAATACTTTACAAAGCAAGACACTTTGTTAACCCACCTGCACATATTGCAGCAATCAGGCCTTTTCTGCTTTCCTGGTCCTTCAAAATGTCTTTCACAGCAGCAGACTGTATGAAGAAACATCACAAGTCGTTGTTTGGAGTTGGTTATTTGAAGTACGGTTGAAACAGTTTTCACTGAAATTTCATAAACATGTTTTGTACAGAAAACCAACCGGAATTTTCCCATGCTGACTCAGGACAGAGGGCAATGAGAACATTAAGAAGGAGAAAAACTGAAACCAAGACACACTTGCCCCAGAAGGAAAGAGAGAGGAAGGAAATCAGAAGGAACTGCAAGGAAGCACCTGACCCACATGAAAGCTGGTTAACCCATGGCCATAGAAAGTTTTTTGAACGTACAGGACTAAGAGAAAATAGAATTCATAAGATACCTCCAGACAGTCTCTATCATTCTTAAGAAGATTTATATGGGATATTTGTCTCATACTCCATGGTTGACAAACTCTGTGACACCACCTAAACCCTATCTGATAGATGAATCTGTTTGTCTGCTTGCCTTTCACAAGGAATTCATACCATCACTCAAACAATTCTGCAAAGGAGCAGAGGCCCTTGGGTTTGGACAGTTTTGTGTCTCAGCAAGAAACCTGCATTTGCAACCGTTTCATCTTCATATGAATATGAACAGACTTCTTCCCATATTGCACAACACCTTTCCATTTTTATTCTGTTTTACTAGGTACTCATGGCCAAGAATTTACCCAGTTGTCCCACCTATATAATCACAAGAAGGCTTAAGACCATTAACAATTAGTTTACTGATTCATTCAGAAGAGAATTTTTAGATGCTGAACTGAACCTGCATGATTACTAACCAAGTGCTGACCACCCCACTACCCACGAGAATGCCCATGAATTTTTAAAATGCCAGAACTTTACCTCAGACAAGTTTTGAGCTCCAAGGTTGCCTCCAGGCAGGACCACAACATCATAAGGCCCCTAAACAAAGTAAGATAAAACTGTTTGTTGAATAGAGGCTGATACAATCATTACACTGTTTACATACATTACACTGTTTGAAGACCACTGCAGCTGATTCAAGCGGCAAGCAAGGAAATCAACCTTTTATTTCACTAAACATCACTTTATGATCAGAAAACAAGTTCCAATAATGAAAAAACACTATTTCCTGTTCTAGTAAAAGACTCTTATCAATTAAGTCTCTCACAGAACTGACTTTTAAGACTAGTGCACTTAAAAGCTTCAGCAAGTGACAGCTCTTGTGTTGTAAAGACAGGTGGTTTTGCTCCAACCTTACTGTACAGGTTCAATTGTAGCATTATTCAGCTTCTCATCAGACCTTTTAAATTGACCCGAATCACAGTATTTTGTCAAGCCAACTAACAGGAAAAATAAAGCTCTGTGACTGATACTTTGCAAAAACAAATATCTAGGCAAAATTAAGAAATGTGTCTCAACCCAGCAGATTATGAAGCAGCATATCACAGCAGGATGTGCAGTTCTGTAATTCACTGCTACACAGAGTTAACACAACATGCAACATATGTCCAAAGGTAATGCATAAGCTTTCCAAATTCACTTCAGAAACTGTAAGAAAGACTATGCTGGTCATTCTATCAGAGAAGAGTGATGACCAACCTCTTTTCTGGCATCTTCAAGACTGGCATCAGGACAAATGAAGACATCTCGACTGCACTGCACTGGTTCTTTTCCTGTTAGGCCTGCAACAGTCACCTTGATCTAACAGGAGAATAAAGATATTATTACAAAACAAGAATTTGGGGCATTTTTCTTATATCTTAGCTCTTAAGTACTACACAGAACAAGCAAAGCCATACTGAGAGCTTGTTCCTCTTATGACAGCCAAAATGGGGAGCACAGTGATGGAACTACAAAGGTGGTGGGAGAAGGTAAGTTTTATTTCAGTCATTTCTAAGTGAGGTTGGTGTGTTTATTTAAAGTATTATTTTCATTCCTATTGAGATGGTAACAGTGTGTTACTACAACTGCAAGAGTAACAAACAGCATGAGGAATTCCAACAGCCAGAACTGTAGTTAATAACTGAATTTCAAAAGTAACTCAGGAAACGCTATGCAATGTCGTGAGCTGTAATGTACTGAGCTTCTCAGACCCCTAAAAGAGAGGAACTTCCAGTTACTATACGTGGGAGTAGCTGTGTTTTCTGACAGAGTAGGATTTACTTGAAACGTTTGCTCTAGTCCACATTAGACTTGTATTTTGAAAGGTTACCAAGAAATGTCAGTTGTCAGGCATGCTCATTAGGTGCATGGCACAAATATTTGCTAACCAGTAAGGCGATGAGGGTAAATTTTCACTTCAGACAACAGACCACACACTGAATTCCTGGCAATGAACATCAGCTTGAGAGAATGATTTCCCCTTGACCTGGCACATACTGCATACTCACCCCAGCTCGTCTCATAACATCAGTGGGGATGACAGTTTCCATCTCCTCTGCCCCTTTAGCCAGAATCACCAATGCTCTCTTTGAGGCCATGTCTGGAGGGGCTGCTCTCAGGGAGATGGCTGTGAAGGAAGGGGCTGAGAGGGGTAGAAAGACAATGTGGTTAGAAGGCAAATCCCCTTGTACGAATCTTTCCTTATGTTAAAACTGAACAGTAATCTGAACTTTTGCATGCTCTGTCATTTAAACCACCTCAAAATGGTTCACTAGCCTAAATCAATATTCATAGCAATCTTTTTTTAAAAAAAGAATGCATTATGATATTAAAAGATTAAGGCACTTGTGCAAGTGGGAGGCACAGCACATCAGCAGCACAAGAAGCAGCAGCTTGGCCTGATCAAGACCTTGCAATGACCTGTGTCTGTCAGAGTGAGGGGTTCAGGGTGGGTGGCAGTGCTGTTTTCAATTTGCACACCCTCACTTATTCCGAGACGACTGACTCCTACCCAGGTCAGCACTTACGAAAAGGGCTTGCATGAGCTTTGACCTCATGTCTGGTTTTTTAGTTTCCACACAGCATGCTTCAGGAGGAGTTTCCTGTGATCTAACAGTGACTCCACCAGTGCCCCTGCAAAATCTCACCGACAGATTTTACGGGTTATTTTGCAACTTAGTGGGGGAGAAACACACGTGCACATGTGTGATGGGGGAGCAGACCACAAGATCTAGCAAATGGAACAAACCAGGCTTAAGACTTTTTTTTTTTTTAGCTTCTAAGTTCAAGTTGAGGTGAATGGCTGAATTTCCATCTGAAAGCTAAGTCAAAATAACTTTAAATTATGTAAAATATCCACTAACTCATACAAGTCTGAGAGAAATCTATGAAAGCATCTGTGATATGAGAAGGCATTTCACAGGTTACTAATCTAGAAGACTGAGATTTTTGTCCTGTGCAGGGACCTTCCATCTAGAACTGCACGTAGTATCTGGGAGCTCTTCATAAAATGTGATGCACTTTTAGGTGCCTACACAAAATAAAATCATCCTCACCCTGCTTCAGCTTCATCTGTTTTTAGATTTGGTCCCTACTGGTAGACTCCTTTAGAATGTTATTTCTAGAATACAGTAATATACAGCACAACATCCCACAGCATGCTGGACCAGCCCAAGCAGAATAATTCACTGTGTCAAATCCTACTTTTAGGGCAGCTTTATGTACTGTCAATGCAAAAGCCACTGATCAAGTACACCCGAATCACAGGTATTACTAATAACTTTAGGACAATCTAGAGCTTCTTAATAGCTTGTCCTGAGGGTATACATTGATTCTGCCATATTTTCGTATGAATCTGACTAGCAAAAAACTACCTGAATAGCCACCATGCAGAAATGCTGCATTTGCTTTTCACTGAAGAAAAATAGTCTAGATCACAGTTTGCATCCCTGTCTTTCATTAATTCTTTAGATGAAAACAGGCATCTGATCCTGAAACCTTCACTCTCTCTCCTAGTTTTGCAAAATGCAGTCTCTCCATAGTGCCTTTAGATATTTACTGTACAACACTGCCAAATCCTTGAGCACTAGTACTGTTCTTCACGTGGGTGCGTGTGTAAATAGCTGTCCCATTACTATGGAAAGGCAACTTTTGAGAAGGCAGAACAAAGTTACACAGACCTAACAGCAACCTCATTTAACAAGTTATTTAACAAGCTACCTACACATCGTAAATGCGAGTCTCCCATTTGCTCCTCAGTGCCAGCTAAGGCCGCCCCAAACTTATCAGCTAAACCCTGCGTGGGTACACGTGTCTTTCTGGAGATTGCGTTGGAATCAGAAACTCTAATATTAGAGTGGCTTTAAAAAAAAAAAAATATCACACCCTTCAGCGGCCCAACCTCAGAGCCCGCTATTCACAGGCAGAGGAAGAGCTGCAGGCGCAGCAGCTCAGCCAGCCCGGGGGGAAAGGCCGCATCCCTACGTTTCCATCTGTTCCTTTGGGGACACGGCGCCATTCCACGCAGCACGGACGGCACAAGGCCGTGCCCGGGCCGAGGCCGCCTCACGGGCCCGGCGGGGGGGTCGCGCCCCGGAACGCGGCCGCCCGAGCACCGCAACCCCGCCCGGGCACCGAGCCCTCCGCCCACACCGACACTCCCCTCCCGCCCGCCGGGGCTCTCTGCTCCGGGCCCGCGGGGGCCGCAGCAGCGGCGGCGGCCGCAACTCACCTCAGCGGGGCCGCGGGCGGCTCTGGGAGGCTCCGCCCCGGCCCCGCCCGCGCTCGGCCCCGGCGCCTCCCCGCCGCTCGCCCGGGCGGCCTCTGCGGAGCCAACGCGCTCCGCTGTTCTCACGGTCTCTGGGAACGCTGAGAGCGCTCCGGTGCCCAACAAAATCACTTCCGACAGCGGCGCGACCGCGAAATGAGCTGCTGCTGCTGCTGCTGCTGCTGCTGCTGCTGCTGCTGCTGCTGCTGCTGCCGCCGCCGCCGCTGCCGCTGCTGCCCCCCCTGCCGCCCCTGCCCCTCGGGCAGCCCCGCACGTACCGAGCAGAACCGAGCCTTGCCCTTCTCCGCCCTCTGCCCGAAACGCTGCCCGACACTTCGGTTTCGCGAGGCTCACGGTGCACAGGGAATGGCTGTGGCTCAGGGATGATGTTGTCCCTGGTTTTAAGGGGTTTTAAGATGTTTTGAAGGACAGACAGCTGTTAATGGGGGCTTTTAGGACTGCAAAGCCTTGTGTAAAAGCCTGCTGTCAGGTGCTGGCAGGCCCTGTCTGGCTCCTGGGTACCGAGCTCACGAGAACTCCTGCAGAGCAGCTCAGGTCCAGGTGAGGAGAGCCGGTCATAGCGAAGGACTTTGCTGAGGGCTCTCCTGGGATCGGTGCGGGGTTCAGCTCCCCGTAAGGGGCGCTTTGTGTGCTGCCCACAGCGGACTCTGCTCAGAACCCCTGACAGGCCGGTCCTTGCTCGGCCTGCCCGTGTGCCGGGCACACACACACGGAAGATATGTTCGCTTCTCACTTACAACTCAGCACTGAACCCCTCAGCGTTCCCCGCGTCCGCTCCTGCCCGCGCTCCGGGCCCGGCTGAGGAGCAGGGCCACGGCCGGGGATTGGCTGCGGGGAGGTGCAGGGGCGTGGCCAGACCTGGGGATTGGCTTCCGGGACCTGCAGGGGGCGGGGGCGGCCTGGGATTGGCTGCGGGGACCGCAGGGGGCGGGGCCGCGCCGTTCCCGTGCCGGCCGGTGCGCGCTCCCCCGGCCGGGGGGAATTCCACACGCTCATGGCCAGAGCGCGGCGCTCTCCCGATCCCTGCGTGTCCCTGTCGTGCCCGTATGGCTTCGGCATCTTCGCGCAGGGCTCCGCCTCTCACCTCTCACCTCCTGGGGATTCCGCGCAGCGCTCACCGGGAAGCCCCGGTGGTGAAAAGGGCGAACGCTGACCGGCATCGCTGAGAGAGCCCTGCGGGCGCTGCCCGGCAGGGCTGAGGGGTCGCGCCTCTGGGAGGGTCCGGAAAGTCCCTCCGGGCCGGGGTTTCCCCCCCGCCCCCGGGATGACGCAGCCAGACCCCCCGGGGGCGGCCGCTAAGGGCGGGTGCCGGGTGTCCCGCGCGCAGTGCCGCCTGCCGCGCCGCCCCGCTCTGACCCATGGCTCCGGGCCGGGCGCTGCTGCCCGCGGCTCTGCTGGCGCTGGCGCTGAGCCCGGGCCCCGCGGCCGCGCTGCCGTGCACCGCTGACTGCCCGGCGGGTAAGGGCCGGGCCGGGCGGGGCAGGGCACGATGCACCGGGCGCGGCCGGCGGTGACCACTGTGTCTCGACCCGCAGGTACGTTCGTAGCGAGCGGGGAGTGCGGACGGGGCGCGTCGTGCCGGCCCTGCCCGGCCGGCACCTTCTCCAACGCGGCGGGACGCGACGGCTGCAGAATGTGTCGGCAGTGCGAAGGTACCGAGGGCGACGCCACCAGCCCTGCTGTGACCTCCCGTGGCAACGACGAGCCCGGGCTGGCACCTGCCTGGCGGGGGGACGCGCCACTCGCCAAATATCGCTGCGGGTCTGCGGGGCTTCTCGCTGGAGCCGCCAGCCTGATTTTTATGAGAGCAAAGGTCCGAGCCTTTGCTGCACCACGCTGGGCATGCTGTAACCTAAAACTCCTTTTCCTCTTGCAGGACTATTTCAGTATTTAAAACCGTGTTCCTCAACAAGTGATGCTGAATGCACGTGCAAGGAGGGCTATAGCTGCGGCGGTGACGGCTGCACCTACTGCACCCGAAGCTGTGGTGTGGGCAAGGAGAGCACCAGGAACGGTAGGATCGCCTTTCCCCAGCAGCTGAAAGCCCCTCTGCTTCCTGCACCGGACACACTGCACTGCCTCTCGCACGGTGCAGCAGCAGATCGAGGAAGATAGAGGAAAACCTCGAAAGATAAAAGCTGCCACTGCTGCCAAACCTTTGCATGGTGTGTGGTGAAAGCTCAGGAGCAGACAAACCCACCACACTCTGAGCCCTACTACACCTCAGATCATGCACCAGTTAGTTCCCTTTGCATGGCAGCTCTTGGCTGCCAGCATGAGGGAAACTAAACTGGGAACTCTGGAGTTAGGCATGGTTTGTGGCATCTTGTGCCAAATCAACTGGCTTCTACAGCTTGTAGCCAAGTACTGTACTTGGTCAGTGGCTGATAGGGAAGGACTTGCCCTGCATACTGAGCAGCTTATGAAATAGCAATTCTGACATTGTACAAGTAGGCAAAAATAATGTTTCATATGTTGCATTTTAAAGGCTTCTCTTGTACAATTTTACCTGTCCTTGTCTGTTGAAGGTTGCCAGACTTGCCGCTACGGAACCTTTAATGATCAGCCCAATGGCTCCTGTAAAAACTGGACAATGTAAGTAAACTACAAAAAAAATAAATAAAAGCTACAGCTATTACACTTTATTACACTTGACTGGATTTAAATTTTTTTTTCTTTTCCCTGTTTTGCTGTAAATGTCCTTCAGGTGCTCTGGAAACCAAGTCCTGGAGCCTGGAACCCCAGCAAAAGATGTCATTTGCAAACACGCTTCAGTCAATCCCACTTCAGTCACTACTCTACCTACCACATCTCTTGAAATTCCATTTTCTATCACTGTGCCAGGTGAGTCATTGTGTAATATTGCTTATGGAGGTAAAGAATTATGACCTGCTTAAACATACTGTAACTCATTCACTTTCCATTAAAGCAAAATGTCTTCTATGCATTTTCAGTATTGCAGACTGATCCAGAAGCAGAGTGGGAGTTTTCAGCTAATTCAATGGCAGTAAAATTTTGTTCTGTTAATACTTAAATAAATGTTATTTATTTCTTAGGGGATGATGTTCAGACAGACACGATCAGGATTTCTCTCGCTGTGGCTGGGCTGTTGTGCATAATCTTTCTGCTGCCGTTGTGCATCTGCTTCAGTGTCTGGCATAAAAAGAAAATACGAACTGTCTTCAAGAAAAGTAAGATAAATACGCTCTTCAGTTTTTCTTTTTGAAACCAGACAGGAGTCAGGAATCTAGGTTAAGCGTCTTTCAAAGGTAGTGTTCAAATAGCTTCGGGTTTTTTGGCATTGTAAGTCAGAAGCAAGTGAAAGGGAAAGAGTTTTGGAATTTTTATTGCAGAAAGCGCTGTGGGTGTTAGGTCAAGTGCATGTTTATCCTTAGAAGTGAAGTATTTGTGAGAAATTAAAAACTTCAGCTGAGCTTTGCTGCTCCAGTTAAAGGTCAGTTCAGTTTATGACTTCCAAGCATCATCCTTGGCCTGTGTGGCTGTAACACCTCCGAGTTCCCTCTGCTCACAGAGGGTACACGTGGCCTGGGGCGAGTGTCTCGGAACTCTGGCTGCTGCAGGAAAGGGGACATCAGTCAGGGTGTGCTGCCACACAGATGCAGAGTCAGCCTGAATCCAGCACTGCCCTCTGAGAGCTAAGAAGTCCTGGGCAAGCTCAAGAGTTCAGCACAAAGACGAAGCTGATTCTATTCAATGTAGTTTATAGTTGGTTTGTTTGGTTTTTGGGGGGTTCTCTCTCCCTTTCTCTTCTTTTCCCCTGCCCTAAGGATAAGGTCTGAATCTTCTATGTAACTCTAAATACAGAAGACCATACCTGTACAAAAATCTATTTCCCTCATGCTGGTCTTCATTTCATTGCCATGACAAACAGAACACCAGAGGCCCTGCTGAATTAGGAAAAACAAAGTATGATAAATTAGTTTTATCAGATATACATGCTGTAGAGGAATAATTTCAGATTATAGAATAACTTGGAAGATTTTTTCTTCCTGACATCCTGCATTTGTGACTGAGGGATGTTAAAATAAGATGGCTGAATAAATGAAACAGAAAGAGGACATTTGTCCAGTTCTGGGCCCTCACTTCAAGAAACATCGAGGTGCTGGAGTGAGTCCAGAGAAGGGCAACAAATCTGGGGAAGAATCTAGAAGGTAAGTCTTTGAGGAGCAGCTGAGGGAACTGGTGTTGTTTTGTCAGGAGAAAAGGAGGATCGGGGGAGACCTTGCCTGCTACAACTCCCTGAAATGTGGCTGTAGCCAGATGGGGGTCAGGCTTTCCTCCCAGGCAACCAGTGACAGTACAAGAAAACACAGCCTTAAGCTATGCCAAGGGAGGTTCACATTGGAGATGAGGAGGAATTTCTTCCCAAAAAGGGTTGTTCAAGATTGGAATGGGCTACCCAGGGAAGTGCTGGAGTCACTGTCCCAGGAAGTGTTCAAGAAGCAGCTGGACGTGGCACTCAGAGCTTTGGTCTGGTTTATAATGTATATGATCAAAGATTGGACTAAATGGTCTCAGAGGTCTTTTCCAACCTAATTAATTCTGTGATGTTCTTTTTTTTTCAGTGCACACACCTGAACAGTCAATTCAGGAAGATGATGCCTGTAGCTGCCACTTCCCTGAGGAAGAACAAGGTGAATATCAGGACCGCAAATCCACAGAATTCAGAGATCTTCTGGTGACCTAGAAATTGAACTGTCCAAGTCAGCCACATTTTAATTTCCTTTTGGAGCACAGAACAAGAACCTGTTTATGTAAATAGAGGGGGTGTCAGCATCTGACTGTTAGAGTCACTGAGGGAAAAATGCTTTTTTAAATCTTTCTTAGTAAAATAGTAAAAAAACCCTCCAAAACAGTTTCCTGATTTTCTTCTTCTAGGAGTAAGGATATTTCTAAGAAGTCGTTCTTGATCTACATGTAGACAGAAGTACTGCATTTAAAAGCTCTTAACAGAAGTGCAGAATAGCTTTCTGGTCCCTCATTAATGTTACCTGAGCCATAATTTTCATGCATTCCAAAAGCATTTGAAGCTGAAAAGGAGATCTATGACACATTGTAGAGTCACTGGTGCCACTCATTGTCTCTTACTACCAGCCATCCTCTTGAGTCTGGAACTGCAGCTCCTCCCTAAGTCTGGCTCAAACCCAGCAGTCTTGGGGTTTGTGTGCAAATAGAGATGGATCTCATTTGATCCCATCAGCCCTGGAAACAGATCCCTCACCACTGCACCCCTCCTCACATGCAGAGGGAAGGAAGCCATAAAAATCTCGAGCTGCAAAGTGTTCCACAGCAGCATCGGCTGTTGTATTACACTGATGGGCTTGAGGGAGGCAGTGGAAACACTGAGAGAAGCTGTGGTTGACTTGAACTTAGAAATAGCTGTTACTCTGCAGCTGGACTGCACCACCTTCAGCCCTACATCATTCAGCTTTGATCTTTTAGGTGATGTAAACTTCGTACATTGCAGCCCTACCTGTGGTATCTTTATGGTACTATTTTTGTAACTGAGGTTGGAAAGATTTTAACATCAGACACTGTATCTGTTTCTCTGATCAAATACTGTTAACTTTGGTCTTGAGAAAAAAGAAAATACATGTTTGAGTCACGGCGTTCACAACACCATTTTTAACCATTTACAAAACTCACATATTTTATTACTTCAGTAAATGTTATTCAGAAATAGAACGAAAACGCACCAATATGTGAGTTAAGGGTGATTTTTCCCTCTCTGATTTCAAGGAGAAAACTATCTTGCATTTGAACAATGACAAGCCACTCTTCCTTCAGCAAGTTACAACAGCAGATTATTTTCACCAAGCCACACTTACACATTTTGATAAACTAACGTACAAGTAAATATAAAATAGTAAGTTTTATGTAGTGAGAAAGTAAGTGCCATGGAAAGCCTGAATTGTGAAGTTTTTACTTTTATCCCTAGCTCAAGTCTTCTTTCTATTGGTGCTTTAAGCCAAGAGAACTGAGTAACTATTACGTCAAAATGACAAACTTGAAGGCGTGAACAGGACACATGAAAAGCCACCAAACTATTTATAAAGCTACGTATTTCTAAATCAAAGAGTGACCTTTGCATCATTGACTGTACCTAGTCACTGTTGACTGTATCTTAGAACCAGATAAAAAGAATAGTTTAGCTTGTCCTTAATTTCTAGCCCAAACCTAATGTAGAGAATTAATGTACACATCCTGTAACTCGAAACATCTGACGTTTTCTCCTTGGGAAAAAAGGCATACCAGCTGAAATTTTACATGTTGCTAGTAAATTCTGCATAGATTTTGAAACATATTTTGAAATGCTTCAAATAAAGTACAAACCCCTTTTTCTTCTTGTCCATACCTGAAGCAGAAATAAATCTGCTTAGTGACCAATGAAGACACATTTCCACCAAAACTGGAGTTCTGGACTGTTTTAAGGAATAGTCATGCATAGAAGGTACATTCTGAATAAAATGTTAGAAATAACCTTCCTTTCAATCAAAGAGTTATGTGGATAATCTTACCTGTGACTTCTGTCATTTGAGAGTGCTGAGGGCTGAATTAATGATAAACAGATTTTGTTGGCACAAACATCTTGTCTAATGTGTGCAGATGATACATTTGCATTTCATGATGCTCATCACCTGGCCAGAGCAGCAGCACAAGAGACTGGCTAATTTGTACTTCTGTGAAATACTTCAAATACATTTAAAAGCAAACACGTTTATAAATAAGAACCAAGGAAAGACTGGAAGATAACATATTTTGAAAAGTGAAATAAATCATTGTACAATTGCAAAGGGGAGATCAGGGCACTTCACAGTGTGCAGTCCTTGCTCACTTCCCAAAAGCTTTGGTAGCAGAGCTGTATTTCATGTGGCCCTCACAGAACTGAAAATAAATACAGGTGAATTCATCTCTTTTGCCACCAAGCACCCAAGATGGAGTGTTTAGCCATTTTCAGATTTATGCCATATTCAAATTCTATGAATTGTGGCTATCTATAAAAAATTCAAATTACAGCCATAGAATCATGCACTTTCTTGAACATCATTCATTCTTGTGTGATGTTTAATTTACCTTCACTGTGATCATATACAACAAATGTATTAGAAGCTTGCTCTTATTCTAAACCCCTCATAAACAGATATTTAATAAAAAAGTAGAAAAGAACTTGTTTAAATCTTCCTTTTTGTTATGCTTGTAGCAGACAGCTGTAAAACCACTTCTGGCAGTATGTTATGAAAATGCAATAAGTAGACTCATCAATTTTGTTAGGAAGTTTGCATCTGCAAAAGAGACACATACTTGTACCTTCCTTTTTTCCTTGTTATCCTTTTGTCTTCTGGAAAAAAAGTCCATAGCAGGTAGTAAAACTTCAGTCAAAGGTAGCTAACATGACAGGGGGCTACTATGCAAACCACAGAAGCAGAAATGGTGTCAGCATGCAATTTTTAAAAATATTTTGTTCTTTGTTTTTACAAAGTGCTACATAATGAGATTTAGCTATCATCAGTGACTAGATTAAAAGAAATACTGTCATCACAATTAAATTTCTACTAGCTTTCCTGAATAGAATTTGTGGCTGAATTTGTCTGTTTTTTAACACAGAGGATAGCAACATTCCTGTCTGCACGTGAAGTACTGTAAAAAATCTTTTATCCAGGAAGGGTGAATGAGAAAAAACTGCCCTGCACCTTTTACTATTAGTAATGAAAGCAGAAGGAAGCAATAAAGCCTGGCTGTCCATGTTTAAAAGAGCTTTGAAAAAGGAGCATTTTTTGTCAATGACAAATAGTTGATAGATCCTGTGCATGTTGGCTTCGGAGGGAGCTTTTATTGAGCACGCAGGTTGTTCAATACCTGAAGAGCAGGTTGTTGTGAGTTGTCGTGGTTACAGAGAAGGGAGGTGGAGTTTAGGTGAATAAATTGTTTATTCTATACACATCATCAGCGGGGTGTAGCTTTTTGGGCAAGAAAAGCCGGGGGGCTGGAAGTGGCAGTTCCCCTCACCCACCACAGCAGAGGGACTGTCCCCAATCAAATCAGGTGACCTCAGCTCCTCTGCTGCTTCCCCCTCTCATTTTCTCTGGACTGGAACTATGGTGCTGAATTAAATTTAATTTATTATATAGCTTTGAGGTGCTGCTGAGCCAGCAGGGCCAGGGGGCACGAGGTGAATGCCCCAGCAGGGACATTTCCTCTCCTCAACACTGGAGAAGTGGCAGCACAAGCATCTGCAGAAAACCGAGCTCAGCAAAGTGGTTACACAGCTCTGATTTGAGCAAGGAGCTTCTGGGGGTCGTGTCTCTGTTTTTTGTTGTTTTCAGGCTGGGGGGGATATTCACCATGGGAGCTCTCCTCCCCATATTGCTTTTGTTTCCCAAATACTACGTGGAGCAGGACAGGAATGCTCAGGACAGAGGCATGAGTAACAGAAGTGTCTGCCACCATGAGTTTTTGTTCCCTATAGTGAATACCCTCTTGTGGGTAAAATACCTTATCTTTTGTATAATTTTGCTATTTGTACAGCTGCTATTATGTGTCTCATTCCACTGCTTTCTGCTTCTAGAAAATTGTTATTTCAAGCCATAATCTCTCATTTATTGTCCCTCCTTCACTAGAAGGGGTAGAGGAAAGAGGCAAGGAGTTTAGTTCCTTGCTGGTGGTAAAATCAGCACACCCAGTCATGTACAAATAATGCAGATCAGTCCTTCAAGCACATCCTGGGCTGCACCAAAAGAGGAGCAGGCAGCAGCTCGAGGGAGGTGATTCTCCCCCTCCACTCTGCCCTTGAGATCCCTCAGTGCTGTGTCCAAGTCTGGGCTCCTCAGCACAAGAAAAGCATGAACCTGTTGGAGCAGGTCCAGAGGAACCCAAAAAGATGCTCCAAGGGCACCTCTGGTCTGGAGCCAGCCTGGGAGAGCTGGGGGTGTTCACCTGGAGAAGAGAAGGCTCCAGGGAGACTGAAGCCTTTCAGTACTTAAAGGGAAGTTATAAAGAAAAGGGAGAGGGATTTTGTACACTGACAGCGATAGAACAAGGGGGAGAATGGTTTTAAACTAAAAGAGATTTCGATTAGGTGTTAAGAAAGAAATTCTTTACTTCAAAGAGTGGTGGGGCCCTGGGAGAGGTTGCCCAGAGAAGCAGTGGAGCCCATCCCTGGAACTGCTCGAGGCCAGGGCTTGGAGCATCCTGAGCTATTGGTAAGATCCCTGCCCATGGCAGGGGAGTAGAACTAGATAACATTTAAGGTCCCTTCCAGCCCAAATAATTCTGTAATTCTACAGTAACACTTCAAGTTTTAAGTGTTCTCTGCTTTCTGTGCATGTCTCTTTTTTTTGACAGTCATTTAATTTATTATATAGCAAGCAAAATGGAACTGGGAATGCCCTGATGCCTCTCAAGCAGTCCAGGTGGCTGAGGATGAGGTAACAGGCCAGATGCAAGCTTTTTGAATTTCTATTTGTTTTTCTTGGAAGTCAGAAAGTGTCCTCATAGCCAGACCACGCACAGAGGCCCAAGTGATGTTAGCAGAGTTCTGAAGGCATGGAAGAAAGGGGAAAATTCTCTTTAAAGATAAGTACAAGCAGAGGAACCTGCTGCTTTTTTAAATTGCTTTCAGAACCAGCACCATTTCCTGGCATAGTTAGTGGCATCAGTAATTAAAATCATGTTTGTCACACCTTGGATTTGTAATTTCTTGCAAAAGTTGTGTGGCTAGGGAAAGTGGAAGGTTCATAGCAAGAGTTTCTATTTCTCACCTCCCTCTCCACCTGTAGAAACAGGTGTTGCTGTGCCTAATACACCTGGATGATAGGGACTCTGAAACTGTAGTGGCTCCTCTAAAACATGTAAACA